CCCCCAATTCTCTCCCCCATCCCACTGGGGGTGGGGGAGTGAGCAGACGGCTTTGTGGTGTTTAGCTGCCTGCCGGGTTAAACCACAACACAAGCCAAATGATTTTCCTTCAGTTACCTAGATCCTTCCACAAGCTCTGTTTCCCTGTTGCCGTATCTCCCCCACTCAGCTCCTGTGGTTACAGGCTTCAGTTTCTGCATTATCTGTCACGCTTAAATCTAGAAGCATTGCAAAACGCTGGTTTATAATGTGTTCTTTCTGTGTTTTGTCACCAATACAACTGACACACAGTCTAACTCATATGCAAAAACTATTCAATGAAAAGTCGCTATTTCAGCATTCTCTTTGGTTTTGGACCCTGAGAAGTCTGATCAGCTGAAAATAGCTTTCTCATACTGACTTAAGACATACACAGTGCCTTATACTATTCCTGCACACGTATTATCCACTATTTTGTTTGCTATTTCATGAAATAGAACTTTGACAAAGACTAAACCAAACCACGCATAACACACAGATTGGTCATTCCAGGTATTCCATAGAAACTGCTTTCCTAAAAATCATAAGCATCAATTTCATAAAACTAACTGTAACAATCAAGTAATTTCAACTCTTTTGTTCAGAAAAAGGCTACCAAATTGTTGTAGCATTTCTGCTACAACTATCATGATCTCTTGCAATTTACAGAGTAATCAAACTTGCAAGGAGAAAAGATTTCCTGTGATTAAAGTTTACAAAATACAGCCTCTTTATGTTTGGGAAATTCAAGCCTGACAACAGGACCTCTCAACAGTTCAGCTAAGTATATGAATTTGAAAATGCAATCTGTTGATTAAATTACAGGAATACACTCTTATCATATGTTAGCAACGAAGACTGAAACAAAGAGAGATGACAAGTGAAAGACAAATAAGCAAGATGGAAGGAGTGTAGCATGGAAATTTGGGAAAAAGATCAGGTAAGAGTAATACTGCAGATTACAGAGATTAAACTCGGGTATGAAAAGACAGTACAAAAATACAGATGACAGTGAAGACACTGGACTAACTCAAACATTAAGATGTATTTCAACATCAGGGTCATTTTTTCTTCAGTTTTTGATCGACAGTTGCTTGGGGTTTTTTTGCTGTTTTTCTTTTAGACATCGGTCACAATAGATTAAAAATCCACTTCAAAACAAAAAAGCACAAACCAAAAGCCAACGCCTGAAACCCCTTGTCTGAACACCAGCTGTATAGTCATAATGCAAAGGCAGACTAAAAGGCCGATGCGAGAACTACAGGTAAATGCAAATCATTAATATGAAAATTACATTAGCTTTCAAATAAATAAAAGCTTTACCCACAATGGTCAGGGTGATATGGGAACAGAAGTCAACTGGTTTACATACTACTCAGAACAAAAAAGTTCAGTGAGGATGCTGGACTGTCTTGTAAATCTGAAACCTAGAAAGAGTCAAGTTTTCTGACTAGCTCCAAAGGCAACACCGAGTATAGAACAAGCTATGAGACTGTAGTACAATTTCCTCTTTCCAGATCTTTAAATTACATCCCACTACAAACATGAAGATCCTACGCTATCCTCTGACACCCTGCTGTGATGTTTTCTGAAGACTTTGCATTTGAACTGGAGCCCTAATCCACAGCTTTCATTTCTGTTGTTCTCACAATTAGTGTATACACAGGGGAAAAAAAAAAATCATCAAATTAATGATTTAGAAAGATTGTATTACCAGATTTCTCTTCATGCATGGATTCCTCTTCTCCTTTTTCAGTTTTTTCATTTCTGAGAAACAAAATGAAAATTTTACTCTCTTCTTGGACAGCAAGTAAATATATGGGTTTTTTTTCCTCTAATTCCAAACTTTAATACCTCTTACAATTAGCAATAAAATTAAAAACCTGAATTTGTCCATCATATCAAATCATAGGTAAGAAAGGTGGATAAATGTCAGCAATTATTAAAATAAATATTTAAGTTTTTACAACTGTCCATAGTTAAAATTCTCAATCTAACTTTTAAAATCACTCCCTTTCTGGATTCCCTCCAACATCTACATTAGCTTCTCAAAGTTTTTATCATCAGGTTTGCTTTCTGTTCTGACCTTCTTATTCTGCACAAACAAACAAACAAAAATATCTCCTTTCTTTCCCCTTTTCCTGTAAAGTTAAAGTTTTGTCCTTACCTAAAACTCTCCAGAATTCTGACCCTCCAACTGTTTTCATATTGGAAGCTTCCTTTGCACTCAGCATTTTTAGCAACAGCAGCCTGAATTGCCCCTTCATCCATTTCTCTCACGTATGTTTGAACTTATTTTCATGTAACTGATTATATATGGATTGCCCTAATCTATGAAGATTTTGTATCTTTCCTTTAGATTCATTTGTAACATCATGTCTAAGGGGACACAGAATCTTTCCTGATCTACTTCCTTGTTATTATCAGTTGTTAACTTTTCATTTAGTTACATCTTACAGTTAAGAATGTTAAATCGACTTGTAACTATTGAGTTATGCACAAGACTGCGTAGCTATGTCCGCTCATCACCAAGTCATGCTCTCACCTTATTCCTTTCTTTTATTTATTAAGCTCACTTGTGTCCTTGTCTTCCAAAAAACCCAAAAACCAACAAACCCTAAACCAAACAAATGACAACAAACAAATGAAAAACTGACTGAAATCATACAGGATCTTGTCCCACAAAATCTGAGCGGCTGTGGTATTCAGATACCCAAGTCACATGTGCCCACTAATACAGTCCACAACTTTTCTTCCCTCTAAATTACCGTACAAATGGTGCTGGTAATACAGAATCATTGGAATCCAGCTCTTTATTTAATCTTGAATAATCAATAGTAGAGGAAGCTTCTTGTTCGAGTTTGGCAAAGAAGATATCTTTTTCTTCTTGTTCTTCCAAGGTATCCAATCCAACTCCCACGAAACTTTGATTAGGCCCAGAAGCTAAAACTGAATCTAAGTTTCAAAACAAAGAATAAACTAATTGTGTCTGTGCTGTATGTCCACATACAATAGTCATAATAGTTAACAACAATTATAGACAGACTCACAAAATATTAACAGTATCAAATAATCACAAGCTACTACCAGGAGCCTTCAGCTCACGAGATGCAGCTGACAGAAGTGAAGAATCCTGACTTGCAACGAATTAAGGGAAACAGTTTGTAATAATAGTTTATTTAGATCTAGCCAACTTCATGAAATGGCTGCACTCTCAGTTCTCACCATTTGTCTCCAGGCTGTCTCTACTTAAGGAGACAGCAACCCCATTACTTTTCTGAAGCTGCACCTTTTCCACATGCATATTCTCCTCAGTTTCCCCCATAGGTTGTGAAGTGTTCTGTATCTTCACAAAGCTTCCATTGGCTCCACACATTCCTAGGAAAAAAGTTGCAATATTCTTCACTATCATCTAAAAACTGTTTGTATGACACTTCAGTCTTTTAGTCATCTTCCAGAACCACCAATTTTAAGCTCATGTTGTAACTGCAAAGATACCCAGTCTCACAAATCACATTCATCTAACTTCAGTTTCTGTTACAAGATAAGTAAATCTTGTTTAATTACAATTAATTAGTCTATTATATACATTTTCTTCCCATCCTTCATATTTGCACCCAAACCTATAGTTCAGCATGGGGCAAATATAACAACTGTAAAAACTGACTTACTGTAACGTTCCTTATGGAGGACAATCACACACACAAACCCTGTACAGACATTAACATTTCTTTGTTAGAAGCCTATTAATTTTGTTTGATCTACTACCCACAGACTTTTGAAAATTGTAGCCATTGGCCCAGCAGCTCCTTTTCATTTGTTACAAATTAAATGCTTTAAGGAAAAAAATAGTCACCAAAGTTACTTAAAGGTCACTGAGGCACACCCAGTTCTTCCATTCTGTATGTTTATGCAACTACAACATGCAGTTGCTCTCCTTACTGTAATTTCATTGTTGTGAGGGTTCAACATCACCTTACCAACTTTATGTGTGAATTCTGCTCTCAGACAGAATGCTGCCTTATCTGCTTCCTTATGGAAAACTAAAAGCCAAATACTGCAGTACATTACTAGTTAAAAAGCAGTACCAAGTCCCTTCTGCCTGCCCCTAAAACACACGCATTTATACTTAGATCCTTTAGAGGTTCTCTTAGGAGAAGGGCTAGGAGAAAAGCTGCTTATGCATTTTATCCAATGACCTATGAAATGATTTAACGGTTCTCACAGAAGGGAACAGAAACCATGTCCATCTTTGCCAACATGAATCTCCAGTTGGTAAAATAAACTCAGAATTTTTTGTTCTGTCTGGCCAAATGATGTTTAGACTGTAGCTGTGTCCTTGTACTGAACATACCAGAGGGGTGAAGGCACTGACAACAGCTCATTTCCTGCTGGCAGGAGACTGCAAGAGATGCGTACAACAATAACCCTTCAGATCAAGAACACTAAACCAGTCTTCCACGTGCTGATCAAGTGCTTCAGCTCTGGGCTGTTAGTCTGTCCTCTATACAGGTTCAACCAAGTTCCTTTTAAGAAATGCCTTATTTGCTTATATCATGACAATGGAGAATCCTCTCCATTCAGTACTGAAAATGTACCCAGGGCGAGGCGAGGTGGGGAAAGTAAGAGTCTGAACATCTTTTCCTTCCCTACTGGGCAGCCCTTAACACGTGCATTCTGATTGTAAAAGCCTCCTGGTTAAGAAGTAGAATAGTTTTTTTTCTTGACTTGCAATGACAAAGTCCCCTTGCACATTTTATTGGGAGGCTAAGTGCGTAAGATTCTACATCTTGGAAATGACTTCCACATTCCTGTATCTACCTTCAGTTCCGTCCCCGATTCAGAGCTCTGACTGACTTGCCTTGCATGCAACAAATAAATGTCAGAGACCTCGACTAAAGGTCAAGCTCCACATGTATACAAAGTTAATGCCTAAATAAATACATTTTGCTACAACATTGAAAAGTATAAAATGGAAAGCTCAAAGTGCTGAACAGAAGTGAAAAAGCATGAATAGTCCATTTCTCTCGTAGCGAAATGCAGCAATTTAAAGTAATTTACCCAGATGCCGCTCTATTCTAGTTATCAAGACAGCAAACAGGAGTTTGTTTGCAGCTGGGTCACAAGTTTTTTGCAGACCTTTAGGTTAGCCACAATCTCAGCAGACCTCCAACACCCTATTTTTCAATATGTTAGTAGAATGAAAGATAAACTGTCACTGCCCTCCTATGTAAGATTTACAAGAAAGGAGATGGGAATATACTTCAGTAAAAAGATAATTAGAATGTTTAACAGAACAAAATTTTAGAGAAAAACATTTTCCTGAGTTGTTTTATTTAAATCATCTCAAACTCAATGAACTTTCTGAATAGACTTACATTGATCTTGAAGGCTTCATGGGATTTATGGAAGCTATCTCATATTTTTAAGTATTTTGCTAGTTCAAACCAGACCAGAGCTTTTTTAAAAAAGCATCTCCCATAATAATCTGAAAATCAAACACTGTTTTGCAGCCATTCAGTTTTGCAACTCGGCCACCCCCAATTCCCAGACACATACCCCAGATTACAGGAGATACTACTGTTGCTAATGAAGGCAAAAATGTCTTTTTATTAGCCCTACATAATCTGAACTCGGAGAAACTTATCAAACTTGGAAAAAATATCAACTTGGATGGATTTCAAAGTCTCTTTTCACTGTTTTTTGGCTGTTTGAACAGTCCTACTGTTTTCTGTGGGGCTTGAAAGAGTGATTTATTTTTTTGGGGGGTATTTGTTACTTTTTCATAAAAACTTCTTGAAGCAGAAGTTTTCTTGAACTCCAAAGATTTCACTACCCATATCTTCACACGCAATATTTTGTAAGGCTAATGATATACAGTATTCTTTTTTAAAGTCCTGCCACTTGAAATTATTTAAAATAAGAACCTGAGTTTCACTTAGAAAAATATTTCTAACCAGCACACTTGCAGAGAAAAGTTTAAAAACATAAATACAAAGGACTCAAACCTACAGACAATGACAAACATCTATTTAAAAAGTAACTTCTTTTCTCCTTAATCTGACCAGGACTGTCAGAAATCGAGCCATTTTAGCTTTTTAATATCATATGAAACACAACAAATTTGTTACCCTCAGAATTGTCTGGACTGTCAGAAGTGAGGCTTCCTTCTTCTTTGTTTAAGTACAAATCTTTCTTGTCCTTATGAAATTTTTCCAGCATCTTGAATTTAGACAAAGCCTTGCTGCGAGATGCACTGGAAGAAGGTTTAGGGGGAACTACTTTTAAGTGTACACAAATATTTATAAATTTTTATACATAATGGACAGGGAATAAAGAGAAAAGTAAGATGTGAGAATTCAAATTGCCACTTCTGAAAAAGTAATGCAGTTCAATTTCTTGTAGATTGAATTATCTACAATTTTTTAGCTATAACTAAAAAATAAAGTTAATACTTATAACTTCTGAGAATAAACTCTTTTTTCTGAAAAAGTAATGCAGTTCAATTTCTTGTAGATTGAATTATCTACAATTTTTTAGCTATAACTAAAAAATAAAGTTAATACTTATAACTTCTGAGAATAAAACTCTTTTTTTCCTCTTTTGTATTTTAAAAAAGACAAATTCCTTCTTGCTCCATGTATACCTTGCATTCAAATACACTGTTCTAGGAGCTCAATATATTACCTGAAAACAAAGAAAACTAGTAAAACTACTTCATCAATAAAAGAAATTTTGTACTACAAGTTTTGAAAGAAAGCATCTAGATCGGTTCAAAGAAAAGCAGAAAAACATAGGTACATAAATGTGAATTACTACTGTCTTTATCACTGTCAGGTACAAGAACTGCATGTTGTTTGATCAAACCATTGTGAGGACTTGCTTTGAAGCAAATACAACCAAACGCCTTCCATTCACATCAGTAGAATTAAGTTTTAGATAACAGTACCTATGCTGAAAACTGTGCTCTCTCATGACGCTTAGATGATAGCCACACTACACAGTTTATATACCTTAGACTAGCCAGATGCACTATATTAGACTTTTCCTTGTTCAAATTGTCAGGGTGGAGGGGGGCTTCTGAATTGGCTAATTCAGAGAAAACTCTTAGTTACAGGTTTTTTGAATTTACCTTGACACAAGAGAGAACAAGAGTAGTCTAGGGGATCAGGCCAAATACTTGTGCTATCTAGAAACAGGACTATGGGGAGATGTGACCAGAAGCTAACACAACTCAGAAACATCCAAGATGAGTAAAGGAAGCTGGTGAGCATACGGCAGGTGCAATGCGAAAAGAGGAACGGTATGAAATCCATTCTGATACAATGCACGGGTCCTTTATTCCCTCAACTGATGTCCAAGTCCATTGGTGACACATGACTTCTCTAGATTTATATTCTCCCACATGTACTGGGAAACTGAAAGTGTTGACAGCATGCCTCCTGCTGTAAATAAAGCAAACATCTGATGCCTTTTAAAACAGTAATTTGAAATAACTGCCAAACTCCTCCTATTGCTCATATTTCAAATATTAAGCCTAATTCAAGAAATAGATTCAGTTTTACTGTTTATCTCCCAGACCGAGATGCTTTATAGCTATTCTATGCAAATGAGGCTTATGAAAACAGGGCAGCACATACACTCTAGAAAGCTAACACAGGGAAATGTTCTATAGGCTACATAGATGATGATCACGATCTAATCACCCACACAATCTAAAGACCAAGTGCCAAATATTTCTTTGTCATGGCTCTCCAAAATATTATTGATTTGCTTGAATTTAACACCAAAGCCACGTTTAAACTAGTACATACAAGTTAATTGCTATTGTCATTTACACAAAATTATTCCATGGATCAACGTTTATAACTCAATTATTCTTTGGAGTTCCTCTTCAGAAAGCATAAAAAGTGACTTCACATAAAAGGCTGAATCTGAAGTTACATTGACTAAAATAATCTTGTAGATTAAACAACTTAGTTTGTCATTATTACACCAACTGTCCTGCTTCCATTCCAGGGACGGCATTCACAGAGCAGCCTACAGGTCAGCAGAGGGAAAAGAGTCACATCAATAGAAAATAAATAGAATGCTTCTCTGACTGGAGTCTTTGAAATTAAACAAGTAGAACAGTGAATATTAATATTTCTTGAGTATGAAATACAGGAAGTGTAAGAGGTTTTCTGTTTACTAAACATGCTGACCTTTGTTTAGATTTGCAAAGGTATTCTTTTTAAAAGGTTTTTCCCCCCCCCCCCCCCCCGTTGGCTAACATTCAATACTGTCTGTCCTCCTACATCACTATAGGTAGTGATGTATGGTGTAATGACAATTCAGCAGCAGTTCACATAGTTATTAAGTTTCTTCTGGAAATGACAAATGAAGTAAGTGGCAGCTTGCTTTCAGTGAGAACTCTATGGTCAAATGGACAATTCGCAAGGGATTTTCTACATGAAACGCACTAGTAATACAAGGCTGATATTGAATAAATTTAACAAAACACATTTAATCAAATACCAGGCTGGGAATCTGAATGGGGACTCTTTTGTTCACTATTTTCCACTATTTCAGCATGGCTTTCCATCAGTTTCTTCTCTTTTCTCAGTTTAACAAATCTTGTTTGAAAATCTTGAAAAGTAAGACAAACAGCAAGAACAGACAGGCAAGCAAGACAGGGCAGGAATTCTTATTATCCAATTTCTTTTTATCACTTAAACGACAAAAGCAAGTAGAAAGGACATTAGTTAGAGGTATGTCTTTAACCTGGCAAATATGGAAGACTATCTTGAATGATAATTTGCACATTTCAGTTTAAAGCTGAAGAACAAAGAGTTCAAACGTGCCTAGAATAACGAGTTATTTTAAAACGTACTTTATACTGCTCAGCCAAATGAACAGAAATAGTCTACGCTGCTTACCATTAATCTACAAAACCAAGTGAAAACAGGCTATTAGTTTAAATCTCCACCTGTTTCCTGGTACTTCTGCAATAAGACGCCATGGAAAAAACAACCAGACAATAAATAAATACATAGCATATATTTTGTCTTCCAGACATCTGTCTTGCATCTTTTAAGAAAGCATGATATAGATACTGAAGTAACTCAAAATGAAAACCTGAAATTGGAAACAACTTATCAGCTCAGTGTGTTACTCAAGCTAATTAGCCAGACTGTACTTTGTTAATATAACAGTATTTCTATGCAGTGCCACCCAAACACATCAGCTCATACATATGAAGCACATATTTGTAATGCAGTGCCACACTGGGGGTGGAGGCAAGATTTGTACATTTACATAAGTTTGATTCATGTTGACAAAACACTTCAAAAATAATTCTATTAGCTGACAGCCTGTCAATAAGAGTCCTATCTGCAACCAACGTGAAGATTCAAGCCTAGGAGAATACACAAGAATCTCCACAGAATTTCAAAGAATGCCAGCCTTACCCTTTTGAGAAATAAATTCAGCTTATTTTCATATTTGTTATCATCACAGCAATATTATTATTTTTTTAAGCGGGACAATTATTTTGCTATTTAGGGCACATTTAATAACCTTACAAAAAGCTAAAAGTCTAAATCATCTTCTTCTCAGTCATCCTGTGCAGTAACTTATATTATTAATAATAATCCATTATTAATACATCTGAGCACCATACTACTCTTGTACTCTCAATTCTGTTATGTCCAACTGTCAAGACATGTTGGACCTTTGATTCAAAAAGCGTAACACACAGATTACTTTCAACTCTCCGTGAAAAAATCCAGCCCCTCATCATGAAGAGTATGAATATGAACAGGCTAGCTTCTTTCGCAAGTAAATGGATTCCATACTGGCAAAACTGGGTAGGCTCACCTTCTGAATGTTTTCCTGTTAAAGGAGAAGCTTTTTTTAAAAGAGACCTTAAAAAGTTTATCAGAACTCTGTTTTTATTTTATACGTCAATAAACTGCAGATCAAGCATTTTTCAGTTCTAATAGTTTTACCTCTATTTAAACTACAGAGCTGATAAGAGATTCTTAATTTAAAAAATAAAAGTGGTAGAATTGGTTTGGATGGGAACAACTTGATATGATCACATTATTTCTTCCGATTCTGCTTTGCATTGTACTTAACCCATACAAGCACCGTTCTCTAAAACTTGTAATTACCCTGCCCTTTAAGTACCTATTCCAGTGTTTTTTGGTTGAAGTAGCATGAGAAACATCAAAGTGCTTTTTGGGTTGCCTCAAGTGTCTCAGAAAAAACATGGAAGAATGCCGAACCTCTAAAGTCCCCAGAAAATTTTCTTTGATAGTATGTCGAAAAATGAGGTCATGCTAACTGCTTAATTTTCACACTTTGCCCAGCAAGAACACTCTGTCTTTCTGTTTTTTTGAAAAGCTGTAAGGAAATCATAATATCTCATAACTACCCGACATATAGTTGCACTGCCTGATAGGAACTCTCTCATATCCATCCGAGTTTTCCAGCAACATCTTAAAAGGCCAGAGACAGATAAGCAGTCCAGACAACACCTATTAGGGTTATGCCTAAATGGCACAACTGCTGACTAAGATTTGGCTCCTGACTATGACAGCACTGACAGCACAGAGCTATGCTTAAAATCTGAGACTACCAGCAGTATCTTAACTCTGTCATATGAAAAACTGATTTCTGGAACTTTCTGTTAAGCTCCAGTTGTAAGTTATACAAATCATGAAAATAAGCCACCAATTACTACAAGAACAAGAGGCAAACACCCTGTGGAAACTAACTACTCATAGGCTTTACTACCCAGTAAGAAAACAACGAAGAAATGGAAAACTAGAGGTGGAAAGCTTGCAAACAATAATATATTTTCTTCCAGAACTACATGACCAAGTCAATACTGAACTAGCAATCATGTCATCACAGCCCTTTTCCCCTTGAGCCATGGTTCTCAGCAAGGGAAACGTTGAGAATACTGACAGACATACGTCTTTGAATCAGCTGCTGTTGAAAAGCTTTTATGTGCTTCCCCAACCTATTATAATGTTGCAATTAGCATAATATTATACAAATTGTTTTTTTGACTCTCAGTTTTGAAAACAGAAATCTATAAAAGGTCAGTATAAGGAACAGGTTGGTTACAAAACACACCTACAAATATCTCAGCAGAATTCATAAGTTATGTTTTTCTGATTTTCTTACTATTTATAATGTATTTACTCTTTACAAGTTTTAATAACTTGAAAGCTACAGAAAAAACAGCAGAAAGCTTGCTTACAGCTTGAATACGATCCCTTTCAAAAAAATACGATTACATTTGAGTTTTATACTTTACAAACTTGCATTGTAATGTTCTAAAGCACTTGAGTGGCATCAACTTAATCTGAAACGAGGCCTATATGAAGCATAAGAAAGAACTAGCCTGACCTCCTGTGGCCAAAAAATTGCAAAACTACATTATTTACCACCATCATCCGAATCTTCCTCAGATATCCACCATGGCACTGAATCCTTTTTCTTAGTTTCTTTTTTCCTGGGCTGTCCCAATGTCTCAAGAATGCTGGATTTTTTCTTTGAATTTCCAAGTGAATCATCTGAAAGAGACTGAGTCAATTGCATACAAGATTAAAGACAGCTTTTACATTTTCACATTTTTTAACCGTCTTTCAGCCACTCAATTCTGGACTTCTGAGTTCAGATGCCTCTCTTTACTCCCCACTGTCTGCTTTTTTTGTGTCTGCATAACAAAGTTGATTAAGAACAATAACTATATTCATGTCGCATAATACTGCATATCATAATAACCCCACTGACAGAATTTGGATATGTTAAAAGTTAACTGCTTACTAGAGTATATGTTCAAATGAACAGCATAATCAGTTCTTTTTCAATTAGTTACAACATATAAGAACCAAAATCCTGATTACACCCCTGAAGATAATGAAGTAGAGCAGAAACAGTTTTTCCTTGGCCTTGCTTTGTACATGAACAACATTATTAATATTCTAAAAATAAACCTTCACAAGCAACATTCTAGCTCCCAGCAAATCAGATTTCAGAAATTAATTTTATACTTTGTGTTCATGGAAATTAATAGAAATGCCAGAGCCATTCCTACCCAACTCTGTGTATTAAGCTTTCATATGTGTTAGTCATCCATGCTGATTTTGACTGATGGCTTAAATCAATGGAGAAAAAAAGTCTATGAGTATAAACATCCTATGAATTTAAGTTACTGAAGGGTAACAGGAAGGAAAAGACCTACAGACACTTCATAAGACAACAGCACTTTTTTTGAATTAATGCAGCTTTTTTAAAAAAAAACTAATCTCTGCTCTTTTCCTTTAATAAAGCTCTTTGTGGCTTACAGCAGGCTCAGCGCCACAATTAGCTGTTCAGACATTGAACATGGAAATATATTAATTAAGCTAGTTCTGTGCAACCTTATGTGTTACGTATTCTTTGTGCTTAAATTCAGTAAACATGGGGTTAAAGGGAGTACATAGTTTTTATTTTTATCTAATTTTTTAGCCATACTTGTTGAAATCAATTGTCCTAAAGTGTCTCATAGAACACAGTGAAGAGAGTTAGCAAAAGCCATAAAGTGTAAGAAACAAAGAATTCACATATGAAATGCATCATATGGGAAAATTTCAAAAGCTTCACTTTTGTAATAGTCACAAATAAGTAAATGTGATATTATAAACAGAATACTAGAGGCAACAGGATTGTGGGTACTTAATATGTAAAACACAAGAGGATGTTTCATTAAAGCAAGCATCTGTGGTCCACTGCCTGATTCCTATTGCATAAAAAGCACTACCATAAAAGCCTACCTTTACTATATATCTAACGCTTCAATTTATATGGGCCTAACAAGAACATCCATAAATCAAATGCCAATTATCCAAAACTACCATTTAAGAAAAAAACAATTATAAGAAAATAATATTCTTATGAGTATCTCTGACCAATAACAACTTTAGAGCTTACAGTTGCACTTGAGAAAACTAAATGCCTGTCATACAGTCTCAGAAAGAAAATTTAAGTGCTCTGAGCCTTGCACTTTAATAAAACACAATTTTAATAAATTATGAAACTGCTAGACAACAGGATATATTGCAATTTCTTTAAGTTGGCTCAGTGACATAGAACAAAACAGCTTTACATTCTTAATAAATGTCCCATAAATAACAACTTCCTTACACTAGTCATAAGTACTACTGCCATTGTCCCCAAAGGTCAGACTGCTGCCTACTAGCTAGAAGTACTGACAGGTGCTTGATGCAAGCTCTGTTACTGCTTGCTGTTTCTTCTGTGACTAACAGTATCCTCTACTCTGCAAGCAGAACTTCCGTGATGCTTGCACTCCTTAGAGTATTGTAACTAAAGAAACTGAAACTCCCACAGGTTGTTCTCAAGTTCTGGAAACTTTCTATGTCCAGCCATCTTGTCAACCGCAGACAGTAAAGTTGCAGCAGCTGGGAAAGAAATGCTGACACAAAAATACTAATGCATTTTTCCCAACGTGTCAGTTGTCTCAGCAGAAATTTCCCATTTCCCAACGTGTCAGTTGTCCCAGCAGAAAAATTTACAGTTTCTTCCTTGCGGGGGGGGGGTGGGGGGGAAATCAACTTTTTGGACCAGTATGGCTTTTTATTGGGGGGGGGGGGGGGTGGGGGGGAAATCAACTTTTTGGACCAGTAATGGCTTTTCAGTGCCAGTAAGTGGCACTGATTTCTTCCTTCCCCTCCTCTATAAAACATGCTGTCAGCCTTTCAGGAACACAGACACACACAGACACACACACACTCAGTTGTTTTATTTCAACTTAAATAAAAGCCAGAAGAGTCAGTTTTAAGAACTGGGACAACTACATGGCACATAATCAGCTTACCACCTCCTATACACATGAAGGAACTTAAGTAAGTAGATAGGTAATACAGGATTGGATCTAAACCACTCAGACTTTCATGACCAGTTGTCCTCATTATTTCATGAGACAAGTCTTTTTCAATAAAACAAGTCTACTCCAAATTATATTTTCAGCACAAAATAATATTTTAATATATTTGATCTTTTAATAAAAATTAAAAATGTTTTTCAAACAGGGTTTAACGTGTAGTGTTACTCTTCCAGGTACTATTCTACAGATTTGCTAATAAAGATGGTATAGCCTTTCCTTTTGAAAGTCTTCCTTCTCAGCTGTCCACGAGTATCAAGCAGAACAAAAGTCAACCTAGAAGACTAGAAGCAGACAATTGTTTTCTCCTAACTTTGCTTTGCTTTAAGTGTCATCAAAGGAAGCAATTAATTGAAGTACTGTGTATTAGAAAGAGCTCCTCACATTGTATGTCCCAAGGAACTTCACAGCCTACACTCAGAAAACTCAGGAGCTATACCAATATGACAGATGATACGTAAATTAAAGTGACAACAGGGGAAGTACGCTAAAGCAAGACACTGGTGGTGCGAAGTGGAAGGATCACAGGCACACAGACAATGGAGGAGGAAGAGAAGAATTGTGGATGACAACAGGCCATTCTGGCAAGGGGTTGGAATTAAGTGTGACCAGGCAGACATTTGTGTGTCCTTCTGTATAATGATAAAAGCCTAGAAAATCCTCTTCACTGATAGTGCATATGCCAAAAGACTTTAGTTCAATCCTCATATTAGACCTGCATCATCCAACTGTATCTACAATCTTTAACTTTGTATGTTTTAATCGCAAATATACATACAATCCTCCCCCCAAAGGCAGTTGCACTAACGATGAGTTATTTAAAAGGGAAAAACCATCCTGCTCCATTTCTTCTCTGAAAGATTTGCTTCAACAATATTAAGTCTTCCTCAAACTACTAAGAAACAGTTTTTGCTATTCCCGCACCTCCACTGTTATACTCTCAACACAAACATCACCTACACAGTGATTTCAAACAATGGAGCACACCAGTTTCTCATCTTTCTAACATTAAAAGGCTGCACACTTTTTATGAAAAACAAAAGCAAAGGGAGGGACATAACAGAAGATGCAAGCATATAAAGTAACAGAGAGTAGATAATGTCATTGTTATTTGGGTCTGTATCTAGCTGGCAAAACATAACATAATACATATTTTTAATGACTGGATTGGCAGTATATGCGTTTAAGAAAGTTTAAACACTTTACAAATAGTTTTAGTTTGAAATGATAAAAAACAATTAAGACATGAGTTGTTAAAAGTTACGTTCCCTGGAACATGCCAAATACCACTTAGAATAATTCAAAACAGCTATTTTGTTTTGTTTCTAACTCAAGCATTCTCAATGTGGGCAATAGCTGAGGAGCAAGAAGAGCACGTCAAATGAGGAACAAAATACTAGAAGCAATCATATGCAGAGCTTTGTCAGATGCGCAAAATAAATAAAAGAATAAACCTCCTTTCCCTTCCCCAGAGCAACTCCCTTCATAACAATAGTAAGTAACGAACTTTTGACAGAAATGCAGAGCCTAATTTTCTATTTTTACTAATATTAATAATTTCAGTGAATTCAAGGATGTTAACTCAATTACATCATCAAATTAAAGGCCAAAAGCTACCTTTAAGTTATTTGTGAATCTTAATTTTCAGATGGCATTTTGGTTTTCTATTCTCTCAATTTAGTAATGCTCACTGAAGTTACATTTATTCTATATCTGTAAAAACACCTTGCAAGCTGCATGGTCAAAGCAGAGTTACAGACCTACCTGGGAAAGCTAAAATCTTGAAAAAGAAGCCTCTGGTTACTACAGATCTTTACTACACAGTACAAAGTGCAATTTTTATAGAATCTAGCACCTACATTTTTCACAAGTAATTAAATTGTAGCACAGCCTCTACATCTTTAAGCGTATGTTACATATAACAGAGACCCCAAGAATATTCTCTGCCATCATTAGCTACACTTACAAACAGCAATAGAATCTAGTAAAGGCCTTATGTATGCAGTATTTGTATCTTAGGGTTACCACACTGTGCGTCTGATAGACCAGAGGGCAAATTCTGAAATTACAGGTCTATATGTAGTGGAAAAAAACATACCAAGTTAGGGCATTTCGACCACGTCCAATAACTGTTAGCTTAAGTCATAACCCACAGACTTGCATGATTTTGCCTGTACTCAAAATCATCAAGCACCATGAGGAATAAAAGGAATCAAACTAAAATTTTCTAATCACTACAACATACTTCATTTTGTTAGGATTAATACAAGAATTTTTAAATAGAATTCAGTAAAACATAGCTTATGCCTACATACAGGAAAAGCTTTTTATCTCATTTTCAATTATATACCAATTTGAAGCTTCTGCTACTAAGTAACACACACAAACAAAAATCAAGAAGAAAGGGCTCTTGCAATGAAGCGAAGACCTTGCAAAGACCCACACATAAAACAGCTACGTGAATTATGTGATAAAAGCACAGCTGCAGCTTCCATTTCATATTCTTCCATACTCAATTTCCCCCCCGTATTTTAATAGGGAAAAGGGATGTGACTTTGCTCTGAAACATACCTCTTTCAGAAACTCTTCAAACTGCTCATCTAATTCTTCTTTTGAAAATCGATGAGCCATAATCTGTGACTGGATGTTACCTTCCAAACAACTGAGTGTAAAAACTAAGATTTAAAATAAAAATAAAGTTAATTAAAAGCATTCTGAAATTAGAGGTAGCCTAGTGATTTGCTGCTTTCATAGAGAGCTATAAGCAAAAAAATCTCGAGAGATGCCAAATTTCATTCCTCCCACTGCTAATCTAAATTATTTACTGAACAAGACATTCAATGCAAACATACCTGGATTACCCAAATTCCTTATAATTAATTATAAGGAATTATTAATTATAATTAATGTAAAACTACACATTTCCAAAGCAACAGTTTCAGCATTTAAACTTTGAGGGATAAATAAATCACCATCTTTCCATTTTTCTTCAAAGGACAGCTCTCTTAGCTACCCACAATTAAGCATTTCGACAATGATCAAACAAGAATCCACTGCAGTAATACTTCCCATCCATTTCAAGGGCTTTTAATTCCTTTCTGTGTTTCTTCTCCAAAACTGGAGACATCTGGCATTATAAGTTTTGTTTCATAGTCTCTGCTGTGCTTAGGACTCAGTAAACAACAAATGCATGAAAGCCTTTAAGATTAGAGGACGATATTTGGTTTGATCTGCCCTGACACAGAAAGCCAATGGCACTTGCCCCCCTCCCATTCCCAAAAGTCTGTGTTGACTTCTCAGGTATAAAATATGTCCCACACTCAAAACGCTACAAAGCTTTCGTATATCACACTGCTCAACACATATGGCTACCTTCAGAACTGCATATGTATAGCAGCATTAAACTACCTTAGCATTTTCCAGGCTGAGAAGTGCTATGTAAACATAAAAGGGCTAAACATTTGCAGAAATGCTTTTACCATTAAATAAAACTTCTCCCAATATGGAGCCCTCTCAGTACACAGGACTGTTACCTACCTAGTAAATTGATTTTGACAGGCGAGTTGTGACAACTGCTTCCTGCTTTCATTCCTTATTCATCCATAGACCACCCGACACTTTGGCTTTGGCAGTTAAAAAAAAAAAAAAGTTTAGCAGCCTGCCCAGACTTTGAATCGAATAAGATATCCTTCTGTAAGCACTTGGACGGTATCTCTGAAAACATGGTAAGAAGATTAAGAATGTTACCTCTCATGACACACATAATCCAGTATCCTTTTATACCTTTACATCAAAGAACACTAGATGCTTTAACAGTTTACTAGCTGTGCCAACTGCTTCAGCGAGTGGAGAATACTTAATTGCAGCCTTGCCAGAAAAAGATTCTTCTGACGTTATACTGTACTTCTGTCTACCTTATGATTACAGCTTTTATAAAAACTTAACAATATAAAACTTTATTTTTCCAAAGGACAACAAACACATCAGACAATTTCCATAACAGATTACAGACAAACATTACTCTTGGCAAATATACTTTACAGCCATACCTTTAGAATCGGAGGCTCACAAATGACTTTGCAAGTTGTAAAACAAAGAAGTCACTTGTTGGGATATATGCTATAACACAGGGCAGAAAGCAGAAGTTTTGGGAAGGTATGGCTAAACCACAGGGGTGAAGGAAAGCTCACACAGCCTAACGCATTTCATGCTATCTTTTAGTCATCCCAGGGCTAGGACCAGCCGCGACCTGATCCTCCTCCTCCGGCTTCCCCTACAGCACACGCAGAGCTGGCACAGGGCGGCGGCCGGGCACCAGCCCTGGGGCCGGCGGGCCGTGCTCTTCCCAACCCCAGCCCCGTCCTCTCCCGCCCTGGGCCTAGCGAGTGCTGGCGAAAGGGTGCGACGGTCCCCGGCAGCGCGGGGGCTCGGAGACGGGCCCGAGGAGGGAGAAGAGCGGGCCCGACGAGGCACCGCCAAGGCTCGGCTCCGCGGCCCGAGGGGGCGCTCCAGAGAGCGGCTGGGGACGAGGGAGGAAACGCCTCAGAGCCGAGCGCTGCCCTGAGGGCGGGCGGCCCGCCCGCTGCCCTGCCTCGCGGCGCCGGGAGCGTACCTGGACCGCGTC